GACTATGGAAGACCAAAATAATAGGGGACAACTTGGGTAATCGGATAAGGAATCCTTTCCTATACCTGATTATTTAACTTAATTATTATTATTGCGGAAAACTAAAATACACTTTATTAATATAACTATACCAATAAAATATTGGTAAAATTATACTGAAAGGTATACCTTATTCCAAAAAGTAAATCATAATAAGTTTGAAGTCTGACTACAGTCGGCATACCTTTCTATTTCGTCGAATTTCTTCAATTAACTTTCAACTGTATCGCTTTGTAATAAAGTCGGAAATCTATTGCCTAAGACTCAGGTAGTTCTATGCAGCGTCGGTACTTATTAAATATTATATTTTAAAGAATATTTCATACAACACAAGCTATTAAAAAGTCGCCCAACAACCACTAAGTATCGGACACAGCGATGTGAAGTGAATCTATGCTATGATTGGAATGTATCATACAGTAAACCACGCCCACAAATGTTGGACCAATCACACGAAAGTTTGACCCATACATTGGCCACCAACATTTGTAGGCGCAGATGTACAATAATTACAGAAATGAAAATTTATTCTTACACTATAATACCACTATCCATACCATACACTGGAGTGCATAAAAAAGGTTAATTTTGTATCCCAATAAATATCTAATTCATTTATGACCTCTAAATCTGTTCAAAACTGGATAGTACTTCGATTAGTCACAAAAATTAACTAAAAAATTTTAAACATTGACTTTTAATTACATATCAGACCACGACATTGACAAAAAAAGGAATAAAAAAATTTAAATTATAATTACGGATAAAATTAAATGTATAGTTACTTAGTCAAAGTAAATATGTGCGAGATAGCATATTTAATATGTTATATCGCGTTACTTCATTAAAATATGCCAACAAAACCATAGAGCTTCGCGACAAAGCAACTTAGATTTTTTAAACAAATACACAGACTATATAACTTTTCTCAGTCGTATGTGCAATGGCACCTTTTCAAGACAACAACTTTGCTCTTTATAACATAAAATATACATAATTTGATTTTATCTAACACTTAGAAACCAATTTACTTCTACACCTACACAATAGACAGGGCCAACGTAATTTAAAGCAGTTATTGCATTTTATATTTTATTTTATGCATGATAAAAGTCACTAACACTTGCCAACTCCACGAAAGAGCATTTAAGCAGAGGGTTCATAAGAGGGCGCATCTTTTAAAGTTAAGATAAGGCGTGGACCACACGCTCTGTTTCTAAAATTAAGACCCTTCATTTAGCAGTCCCTCTTACAAGTAATATATCAATGTTGCTGTTTTATATGGTATAGATTAAAAAATAACATCACGCCTTTTATCCCCGAAGGGGCAGGCAGAGATGCACATTATGCCACTGTACAATGTAACACCCACTTTTCACTATTTATGTCATGAGTCCCATGTAATAGGGAGTGAGCCTAGTGCCATATACCGGGCACAATTCCTGACTCCGTGCTACTACTGAGAATATTTAAAAACCCAGTAATAATTTGCCCGACCCGGGTATCGAACCCGAGACCCCTTGCCCTGCAGTCGCACTTATGACCACTCGGCCAACGAGGTATAGATTACTGGTAAACTAATATTATGTTCATTGTAATGTGACTTTTATCTTGCATCGTTATTTTCACACGTATCCCGTCACAAGTGTTAAATAAGTACTTGTCATTAGTAACCAATTTGTCATGAGAAGTTTAATCTTTATTACAACTAGCGCACATACTCTGGGGTGCAAAATAATTAACATTTTACTCATATCCGATACAAACAAGAATAAGTTTTAAATATACGAAGGACCCGAACTTGCGAATTTTAACTCAGTGTAACAGCAATAGAGTCTTCTTTCTTTCGTCGTCGGTTTTCTGTATTGATGCTATGAAATATATCATACGACATACAATTTAAAGTTTATATTTAAATGACAACTTAATTGCTGGGTTAGAGCCGATGACCTTTATGCCTTTATGAATTTTGTTGACATTCATACATACAATAGTAAAAATGTAACAAATATTTTGCACGCCAGTGTAATAATATTAATAACATTTCCTACGAATCATTTACTAAAGGTGTATAACGTAAGTTAAACAGCACAAGTAGGACAATACATTTTTATAATATAGCAACATTTAGTTAGAAGATATCATGCATTCGATTAACATTTTTAAAGTGCTTCGTTTTGTTAGAGAATTTGATTAAATTCGTTTGAAGAGGAGGAATTAGAGCCTAGAGAAAGTGATAAAAGCCCTGTAATACGTAAACACATATATGCTTACGAAATATACTATACTTATTAGCCATAGGCACGAACCAATTGCTAAACAATTGTAGACTCTGTGGGACTTGACACAAAATCGAAAATACTCAACTCCGATTTGTGGATCCAATACAGACTTTCCTTTTAAGAATGAAAAGGGCGGTCGATTCAAAATCTCTGACTTGACATAAATCTGTTTGAACACCTAAACGGAACATATCTAGTATTTCAACCGCCGCAGTGTAAACGAGAGATGTTCTCCAATGAATTAAACAGACGATATCGACATTTAATTATTCAATAAATATTACATTCCCTCCTTCTTACTGCTATACAACCGACACATCTATCTATTTCACCGAGAATTCCAAACTGTACTTTATCCATAACAAATAGAGATTATTTCTCCTTGCACCGTTTCTATGGCACATTTTATCTTGTGATTTGTATGGATATACAGAAAATTGGCTCACGAAACACGTTCAAAAATGTCCAGCTTCAATTAAATAAGCACGATAATAAATCCAGTTTAAATATTTCCAATGTTTTAACCATTCAAAAAACTTTACACTGATCAATCAATAATGATATAAAAATGTTTATATAACATCTATAAATATAATATAAGATAAAGGTATAATAATAGATATGTAAGAAAGGCTTAAACTATCATAAAATAGCTTTTACAACAGCAACATACATTAACAGGGTTAGACTTGAAACCAACGGCTTTTAAGCTCTCAATTCTGAACAAGACCAAAATATCAATAAAATAAATCGTTACGTCCCAACACTATATTGTAGAGTAGTTCCTATGTTAAGTTTATAAGATAAAAACACTGGTTTGTATTTGAAATGACAAATGATAATATAGGTTACCTTTACCAATTTAGGTTGAAGTTTCAATAAGACTGATGGTTAAAAAAACTAAGGTTTGTATTGAAATTTATTGTGATAAGGGATGTTATTCATTACCAATACAGATATATAGAAGATATATTTACAAACCATTCGCATTGACATATATTTTTAAAATTTATCTTAGAAACTAAAAGCACAAGACAGTGTTGGGAATGAAAATATTAGACATAAAATCGATTCCAAAAGTAAACAGGGAAAGATAACATTTGAAGACTTTTTAAATCACGTAGAGGCCATTTTTATATATCTGTAAAATTACTTATATCACTTAAACAGCCACAAATAAACTCTAAAAATGATAATAGTATAAAGGCGGTTACTTCAATACCTAACACATACACCTCACGAACTATTAATAATATATAATAATTGATTTTACTTTATCCTTAATAATGATATTCTTAAGTTTTTGTTTGTAGAAGATATTTAATCTTAAAAAATACAACATTCAACACGGATTTGCGCTTTTTGAGAACAACGTCATCTAGCGTCCTAGATTAAGAACAGACGATTGATTGAGCGATATATTCGTGTTGAGTTGAACTTTTCACTAATGTGATTAAATATATTTCACAAACACAATTACCTACACAATGAAGATTATTTATTTAAAGTTAATTTGTAATATATTTTACATTATCACGGTAAATGCGTTAATGATTCACATCACTACGATCACTACACGAATATATTAAAAATACAACTAAATAAAATTGTCTTATAAATAAAACTGCGCTTTCAGCTGCTATTATGATGCGTATATTATAAAAAAAAGATTTCTCTAGATATATTAAACTATTTTCGAACATACCGATCGATGGATTGTTTTGATAAAAATATTTAGACTATATAGAATATAATTTTAATGATTTCTACGCATATAATGATAGATTAAGATATGAACTAAAATGGTTTTGCGTATAGAATGAAGCAGATCTAAATAAAATCGTATTATAATATTGTAAGTACATAAAACCTAGACAGAGAGACCTTGAGTGTGACGACCGACTGTAGAATATTGGGAAAACACTTAAAAATCAATTATAAAATTCATTTTACCTTAAATTTGGTAGTTTTCGAAGACTTTTCTTACAACGCCACTGAATATCAGTAGTGTTGTTTAATATTAAACAAAATATATGAGTTTAAAACAAAATTTTAATTCAAAATATGTCCCAATATTCTTTCAAATCGCAAACTAGATAATTATAATTACACTACAAACGATTCTTTATAAGCACGGCTTAAAATTTAAATAGTATAATATACTCATCTAAAGTTTACATTTTGATATTGCGTCCGGGAAGAATTTTCCCAATAAATCAGTATGGATAGAAGTTTTCACACAAAATGACACGAAAACTGGAGTATTATTAAATAAATTTTATAAATTACTTTGACTAAACAGTAGAATTTTGTCTTTATCTTAGATTGGCAACCCAACCACTCATAATATCTATAATAAGGAACAAATTCGACTCAAATTCTTGTGACATTTTGTTTGAAAACTAATATTGCTAGGATAATTACAACTAGAAGGTATGTATTGAAAAGGTTTAAGATAAATAATTAATCTTTAATATTATTTTTATAATAAGAATAACGAACTAATACTCTCGCGCCGCCATTTTGGTAGAAATTGTATGAGCGGGCTGGCAATACTTTTGTTTTGTTAATGTTGCCAGGTGATAAATACTTTTTCTACCAAAGATTGTGACGTTGAAGTGGCATAATACCGTTTCCGTAGTTTACATCTTATGTTGTGTGTGGGCGTTGTGACGACGTTTATTCCCCAGTGTCTACCCAGTTTGCTTCTTCGGCTATTCTGTCCATGCAGTTGCATAAGAATTGGTACTGAAATTAAAATGAAGCAAATTAGAAAAACATTAGGAAATGATTATAAAACTTACTTTTAAGTGTTTAGGATAAATTAGAATTAAAAATCGCTTTTATAAAATTGTATGTGGTTAAGATGCTAGTACTACTATTAGAAGTACATTTACCTATATTAATTTAACATCAGAGAATTTTTACATGTCTGTAATTTATTTTTTAATTATCAATTTCTTTGGTGGAGAGAAGAAGAATAATACTTACATATGGCGTATAGAGTGTGAGGGTACGAGTGTGATTGTCATTTCTAGTATACGTGATACGTGCGGCGGCGGCCTCGTCATCAGCGCGCCAGTCCCTGACGTTCCTCCACGGTATGTCGGCGGCGGGCGCGGCGGGGCGCGGGCCCTCGGCGTCGGGCGGCTGCAGCGCCAGGCCGGGCCAGCCCAGCAGCACGCACAGCGCGGTGCCGGCGCGGCACTCCGACCGCTCCGCTGCGGCCGCCGGGAACGACACGTGGCCGTACCCCGGCAGGCTGCGCGCCAAGGACAGATAGTCCGCCGCCCTTCTAACGTCTTGCAATGCTTTTAATTGATACAGCCGCGCTCCTGCCACACATACTCCGCGGTTCACGTCTTCTACAGCCTAGAAAAGTAATTGAAGAACAATAAGTGACTAAATAAATTATCTGTATATTAAATTAGTAAATCAGGTGATCCCTCGACTGATTTGGTGCAAACACCAAGCTTTGAACTATGAACTGACCTGCCAAAATATAAACGCGGCGGCGGTAGAATCCTCAGCGACGACAGATATTTCAGTGCGAGGGTTGAACAGCCATTTGCGTATTGAGAGACAACTGCTGGAAGCCGTCGAGTAGTTCTGTATGTATAGCGAGTGAGGACACTCGTTCGGTTGGAGTTTACGTTCTGAAAACATTGTGTCAATCTTTAACACAAAGTTCTTGAGCAATGCTAAAGACATTAAATGGAAAATCTTTTTGAATAGGTGTGAGGACTTACCAAAGTTATACTCAACGATCTCGAATAAATAGAAATATTTCTGCACCGACTTCGATAATCCAATCTTTTCACAAACGGCTCTGTACACGTCATCAGCGTTCGTAGACTTGAGGACACTGACTGTGACCACCTCCTTGTCAGGGAGCAGGACCTTCAAGTCTACTGGGGTGGGGTTTGAGGAGTCATCCGAATCTGTTAGGAATTCTTGGACAGCATCTGATTCTGCTATCACTCGGACTGCGCATACCTAGAATGAAGACAATTTGAAACCGTGATTATTCGCCAAAACATTGGAGCACCGATTGTTAAGTTAGTTGATTAAATAATAATATTAGCTAACCTTTTCTAAATACTGTTCAAGTCCTCTCCTCCTGCCATCCAACTGTTGCTCACTTAATGTGAACGGCCATTTGCCCGGTAGTTTAGGGAAGTTGAAACCTGAAATTAGAGGACAAATATTTTTTGACTTTTCAAAGGCATTTGTTGTAAAGTGTTGCTTTAAAATTTTGGATAGTTTAGTAAATTGGACAACTTTGTTCTTTAATAACAAAATAATTAAAATTCATGTCCAAGTGTTAGGAAGATTGCAGATAGAAATCAAACAGGGCTACCACAAGGTAACATACTAGGTCCTATTTTACAAACAGCGTAATTTACCTAAAAATTCCTTTCTAAGAGTGTGATGTAACGCCGCGAATTCTCTGTACCGTCTGCTACATAGGTGTCTGCCTGCCATGTGTACGTTGAAGGCAACGTACGACCTCCCTGTATTCCTCTCCATCACTATACGATAGTCCGGGATGGATACAGGGAGGGAACGTTTGTCGGTGTAGTCGTAACGTTGGTACACTGTGGCGCGGGAGTTGGCCGCACCGCCGATGACGCCCACAGGCGCTGAACCGTCGTCGCATGGCTCTAGGCGTTCTGCTTCCTAGAATAGAAAGTTCAATAAACTATAAAATACTAGCGGACCCGACAGACGTTGTCCTGCATATCCATTTGAATTTATAAACAAAAATTCATTCAAATCAGTTCAGCCGTTTAGGATAACTAACCTAGACACTGACTGCAGCGCCATCTGCCGGGCTGATTTGTGAAAAATCGGTTAAGCCGTTTAGGCGGAGTTCAATGACATACACATACACAATATAATAATTATACATATAATTATATATTATATATAATATATATAATTATATATACAGCGACATGCGACATGCGACGACATGATAATCTTTATATTATAAAGATATAATCTTTATATTATAAAGATTATCATGTCGTATGTCCTTCACGATTTAATTGTTACGCCTACTTTTTACTTGTTAAATACGGTATAACCCTTTTACACAACAAACGCGAACTCTGATAGTTGACTGGGCTGGATATTACCAATTTTATCTATACGTTATTACGACAACGATTTATTTCAATTAAATACAACTAAAATAATCTCATTTTTAACGGGAAATCCATAAAGCACGCGTCAACATTTCCGACAATAATGCTCTGATGACAAATTACTATGTAATGAGTATCCAATTGCTGATGACCTTGGGAATACCGTAAACGGCAATTAGTTAATTGATATTGTATATGAATCACTGGAAAAGTGACATCCCACGCCATAACTATTTCTATCGCATCAGTAGTGTAGTTAGATTAGTTTTGGAGGATATAGAATCAAGCATACGGGTTTATCGATCCGAATCCTACGTATAAAATATTCATTGTTACTACTTCATGTTATTACGCGTTAACTGCTATCGATTGAGACGTTCCAGAAGGATATTAAAGCTTTATGGATGGCGTTTGATAAGAATAATAGCCACCTTGCTTTTTTAAAGGCGGGCTTGAAGCCAATAAACACCGGATTTTATTAGAAAAAATATGATTGGAAACGCAGTAAGGATTATATCGTGGACCTCATTAACGTTCATTAATCATTAAACTTGCAGGGCATGACCCAACTAGATGAAATAATGATATAATTTTCCTTACAAATTGGAGGGTCACAAATTCTGGACAACCAATGAGCGATGGCATATGATAGCAAAAAAAATATTTGAGATCCATTAAGAGCGGATGCTCTATAAGTGCACTTACTCTTTGCGTGACAGAGATGACGGTGAGAGTGAGACAGTCGCCTCCAGACTTGATGAGGTCCACCACTTGTCTGTGTGTGGACCCTTCGACGTTGACGCCATTGCTGTAACAAAAGAGAAGTAACAATGTTATAATTGATCATTAAAATACAACAGATCGTCTTACATGTTGTTATACACAAATAATATAGATCATAATTTTGACCTAAACAGAAAGCCATTCTGGATTTTAACTAGTTATTAAATCATTACTATGGCCTCATCTTATAACGGGAACTAAACTAAATATTTCCCAAGAATCCATGCTATTACAAGTTTATACACAGCATGTATTTATTTTCGAAAATATAGGTGTTTACGATGACATTCTCTTTTAAAATCTTCAAATGTAGCATGATAAAGCAGGCTTATTAATAAAATTATGCATAAGTGATTGGACCAACAAAGAGCAGTCGTTTATTGGCGAGCTAATAATACATACTTACATATTATATTATTATATCGACTTGTTATCAATATCGAGTTGAACACAGATGTTGTTCAAATTGTACGTTTTATGCAGTTTTGTAGAATAATGAAGATTTAAAGCGGCGCAAAAAGTTTATCTTCACAAAGAGTAGGTACAGGAATTTAAACTGGTTACTATAAGATTTGCTCTTTATTTCAGACTTATATTTTGACTTAACCGTATCCGTATCTCGGTCTACACATTATCTGTAGAGAGTAAGAATAACTAAGGCAGGTATACTTAAGCGACATAAAAAATATTGAGGTAAGCAAAAGAACGCGCTAAGCAATCATTATAGTCCTCTAATTATCAAAAAAAATGTTATTACGAAGCCTACAAAAACAATAACCCAGGGCAAAAGGCTATAGGAAAAATTAAGAAAATAACAACACACCCGAGTATCGTGATTCCAGTATTTTTAAAACACATTACATCATACACTGCCGCTTTGTTTACACACAGAACCGCGACCGGCCAGTGCAAACGGGACATGTATACCAAACAGTGCGTATTAACCAATATCTATTTATATAAGGCTTTTGTTTCTCTTGCGATTATCTCCGCCAGATAAGAGCTATTCGATAAAACATTGAAGCTCTTGTTTTTAAAGGTCAAGCAGGAAGAATGCTTGTTTGGCATAATCTAGTAGGTGCCTATGTAGGTAGATTTTATTGTGTGTTCTTGAATCTGTTCAATATTCAAGTTTTATATGCTTCATGGAAAAAATTGTCACAATCATGTTAATAGCTGTCTTTTACTCCCAAAAGATACTAAAGGACCAACACCAAAGATGGACCAAAGGACCAGAAACGACAGTAGACATTATCTCAAACATAAAGTCCACTTAGTCAATTAAAATATATAGCTGAGGGCTTAGTGACGTAAAAACTGGTACAAAGCCCACAGCTAAATTACGATTAGTCTCGACACCATAAACATATCTACATCATCAGGTAAAAGAGATATAGTGAAACAAATAACCTCTAAAACTCCAACACATTTTTATACGCAGATAAAATTAATATAATCTGGTTCTGAGGTCAGGTCAAGGCGAATAAAAAATGATATAACATAATATTAATATCTACGCGCAGTATGATAAGCAGCTAGCGAATTAGTACTGTGAAATGATTTACTGACGGACGTAGATGATTTACGTAGCTACAAATGGTTATTTGTTTCAATTTTAGATTTATAGAACGCTATTTATCAAAGGACCATTCTTTTTAACCTCTTTGAAAGATTATAAAAATAATTTCATACACTAGTCCTTTTTTATATTGAGTACTAAGGTATTGCTGTGCCCTTTGCTATGCTCAAGTTTGTTTAACTCCCTATATTAACACATGCCCTATTGTGTTTATTTAATACAAAATCGATATTCAAACTACATCGAAACTTGTTAAGTATTCTGAATAAAAATCATCAATGTCATGTCTTTATGATTGAGGATACCTAGGCTAGTTGTAGAACTACTCAAGTACTTTTCGTCTTATCTCGTGATTCCTTTCAATTATCAATATTTTTACAAGTTAAATGTACATTTACCTAGCATCCTTCGCAGCATCTTCAGTCTCCAAATCATAAATCTCAAAGTCTGTGGTTGCACAATAATAAAAACAGTATCGAAAGCTTCCAACTCCGCCTCTTTGGACCGACATTGTGTCCCACACTATCACATTGACACACACACCACAATCTTGCTATGTACAGGTACAGGTAACTACACACGTAAGTATGCATAAAAACTATATGAATCACAAAAACTTTCAACTCCTTTTAGGGAGAAACAAAACCAGAACTAGCTATGTGAAACTTTATAAACTGTCGAATGATTTGGAGCTGTATAGCTATTTAAAATCTTACACTTTTCACTATGCACTTCGTAGTAAATAACTACTTATAACAAGCATGTACACACGCGCGAACAGAAACACTAACAAACTACTAATGATCATTAATTAGATTTGTTTTAACAATAAATATTGATATTTGAATTGCGACGTTGAATTATATGGGTCATGTCCGTTGATGACAGTTGATTAGATGCAGTTCTGACCTCTAAACATAAATAGGTTATAAGGTAGTTGTTTGATGGTTAAATCGGATATCATTAATTGAATACGCAATATGGTTGCATGTTACATCAGTGGCAAAAGGCCCTAAGAGCACATAACCTTAGGAACTGATGCCTATGTATTTCAATCAGCTAGCAATTACGTTACCAAGACATTACAACTTGACATTCAGTTGTCTCTTTGAATTAATTGATTGACTATTGTACGTAGTCGGGCGATTGGAATTCACTTCCCTGTTTTTTTCCTATTACTTACTCCCGTTTACAAGTTTGTATTTTGCCAAAGGATCTTTCCAGACTTTTTTGCACAGCTGGGAAAGTTGTATTATTTTAATCTTCCACGTTTAAACTTCGACCCTTACTAGACGGACAGTGACCTTATCCTTTCAAGATCATTTTTTGCAACATCGCTTCAAGTTCGGTGGTGCGGATCAAAGGACCGAAAAGGACCAGACGAAGATAAAAAGGGGCGTTTTATATTTAAAAGAAAACGTACTTTCTAATAATAATAATAAACGCCCCTTTTTATGAAATGAATTGAACCCATTATCATTACTGGGAGTGTTAAATTTCTTGTCTATTAGATAATGGGAATATAGGTTATTAGAGTAGTATTGCAATCATGAGCTATTTAGTTAGACAACCGGTTTGAACTCGCGGCTGCCGTGAACTTTGATTGTGTGTCCACGAGTCGAGGTTGAGGGCAGATAACAGTTCCTTGCCGAAAATTGGAAACTCCGTCGTAGGACCTGAGATCTAAGCTCGTCGTAAGTCGCGTCTAGACATAGGCGTTAGGGTCCATGAGAAATTCCACACGAACGGTAGGTGCTAAGGACCTAACATAAAGTTCAACATATGTAGTTAACCATGAAATCTACTAAGAAAAAAATAATTACAGTAATTACTTTTATTTCTAGAAGACATATTTCTATTTACGAAAATGTTCTTATCCTCTCCCTTTTTTAATAGGCACTTCACGTAATTGAAAATAAGGCACACGTAAAACATGAAATGCCATTTGACTACAAAAGAAAATCACGAAATCACAAGGATAATAGGGAACATACTTCAAAGCTGTCAACAATACGATGAGACTGAGGTCAAAACCACAAAATGGAAAATAAATTATGTTGTTTATAACACACTTGAAAAGCATACGTAATAAGTATAATAACTACGTACAATTTCGCAAAACATTGTATTACGGAAAATATTGATGATAAAAATCATGTTGTAGTTGCTTGTTATTTCCGTATATAGCAATTAAAAAGTTATAAATAAAGATTTGCAGATTGTGGAATTTATTTTTAATATTTATCCTCTTCATATCAAAGCAGGATAAATGCTTGTTCCAATGCATTTTTGTTTTAAAAGATCGTTTATTTTCGTTCTAGACATTTAGGCAGCAATTACTTGAAGATTAAGACAGATCTAACGCTTTCATTCGAGATTAATAGTCGTCTGGGGACACGCCTACAAGACGCGTCACAAACTCGTAAGTTTATACTAGCAGTCACTTTACGTGGGTCGATAGCGATACTTACCGAAAAATTGAGGAACACTTACATACAAATCCATCGTAAAGCAACCGAATGGATCCGTAAAATGCTTTTGAGGTCGTCACTTGGGACCGATACCAAAGACCTCAAACTCCTTCGTTGATATTGAAAGGGATCCGAATCCATTTAGATCTTTGAAACGAGCCTAAACATCGAGTGTAAGTCGACGTTACGTTAGCATCATGAGTACTTTCTAATAGATCGTGGTAGATAAACGGAACTACACAGACAGACTGCTTATCTAAATGAAAATGCACGACTAAAAATAACTAAGTTTGATTCTCAAATTGTTTCATTTAGAATCAGAAGTATTATAAAGTAAACCAATAGTTACATATGTCATAAAAGTAAACCAACATACCTAGAATCCAGCAGTGTGTATCTTCCTTTGCCAGTTTCATTCCGTTGAAACTTTGGTTCGTACAAGCAGTGCATATTGTTAAACATTTTGTATCACTACCACCACTTTGGGTCAACAACACCCTGATACTAGAATCCAGATTAATACTTTTTTATTGGTAGAAAAGCCACCACAGGACACTTCCGCAACGCAAATCTAAAGTGACCAAGTTCGTTCGTCTTGTTCCGGTGTCAAAGCAACTTTAAAACAGCTTCCACATTGTTGAAACTTGGTCAAAATAAAATTATATAATAAGACTCGCTCGACTTGATTATCACGTCATACATGTTATAATAATAAAAGAAAGTTAGTAATACGCTCGGTATTGGAGTGTTTTAAATCGTCTTGTTGATTTAGGAGCCGTAAAGGTCATACGAGTATGTGAAGAGCAACAAAAAGTAATTGAGTTATTCTGAGAAATTGAGGTAGGGCTTATGTTTGGATTTGTGTGGAGCCTTTAAATATTAGAATAACATGATGAGAATATTATATGAGATGAGAAAACTTTACATTTGGAAGTTTCGTGAGAAAACGATAAGATGAATTAAAGCCTCATTAGT